CAAACCCCTAATCACAGTACCGTCTTCTGTCACTGAGGGTGGACTCTGGCTAAAATATATTCAAGCATGCAAATGTTGCACCTCCTTCAGCCGACCGACTGGGGTCCCTGTCAATACCTTTAACACTTTTTGAACAGTCATGTCACTGCTCACCTGGCACGACAGTTTATTTTTATACTTTATGGACTGCTGCTTGTGGAATCTTATCCCACAAGGCCATAGTATATTGCGGACTGGGAGAGGCACCTCAACTGAACTCTCTCTGATTTGGATCTGCTCACGTTTTCTATGCTCACTCATAACATTACAGTAGCCTTCTTGGCTTAGGAGAGGAGCTTTAAGCCTCTAACTGGATGGTATCGTTCACCATATATGTTGCATAGAGTGCTACCTTCCATTCCTGATTCTTGTTGGAGATGCGGGGGAGACAAGTAGCACATATTTGGTGGGATTGTCCCAGTATCTGATCCTTTTGGATCGTAGTCCTCACTATATTTAGCCATGTCTCCTCATGTGATACCATGCAACCCTCAGACTGCGCTTCTATCAGTTCTTCCTGGGTCTGTCACTTGTATTAAGAATGGACTTTGCTACTTCCTATTGACAGCTTGGGCAGTTATACCGTGCCATTGGAAATTTGTGGTTATTCCCACAATCGTAGAGTGGGCCAAAGAACTTTATCATCTTATGTATATACAAGAAATGACTGCACACCTAAATCAGATTATTGAAGCTCATATTGACCCAGGGGGTTTTATTTACTACAACTGGAGACCGCAAAATCTGGTGCAGTTCTTCATAGAAACCAATGAGCTTCCAGGCTTTATTGCCGAAGTTTAATTGAATAAGCTGAAGTTAGAAGCTAAATGGCTGCCCTGCACAGCTGCACTAGATTCTGAGTGCAAATCGTTTAGTAAATCTACCCCATAGTGTCCCTAGCTTCTTTATATGTATTCGGATGATTTCAAATCATACCTATAGTTTGGTTTTGATTGTATCAGGATTTTTCAAGAGCCAGCCACAGCCTTGATTGGCTGGCTGCGTGTCTGTGGCCCAGTATTTTTGAACGGGGAATATCACCCCCCTTTTTCCTTTGTGTTTCTCTTTTTTTTTTCTTCTATCCGCTCTTTCTTCTTATTTCCTTCTCTCCTTTTGAGAGGAAACTGTGCATGAGCCAAGTGAAGGATTTGTACAGAGACATGTGTATGCCAGAAATTTTCATTTTGTTTCGTATGCATTTGTTCACTGAAAAATTTCATTTCGTCATATTCATTACGTTGAACTGATTTGCTTTTGGGATCCCTTTGGATATTCGTCAGTCCGGGTGGATCTGAAAAATTGTGCAGTTTTTCAGGCAGATATATTCGCTAGTCCAACCCACCAAGAGAAATGGCATGCGCTGATTGGACAATATTGACTGGTGTCATATGCATCCAAATTAAGAAATAGAATGAAATACGGATCCATTTCTTACTTGAATCCAAATTATCGAGGGAATTGGAAAATTTAATAATTTCCCCATGGGTCCGAACTACTATCACATGACGTCATCCGAATGAAACAAATGCATTTGTTAAATTTGTATAATGTTTTTTTTTTCAGATTCGTTGACATTCACCTGAAAAACAAATCACAATGAAATGGAACGCACATGTCCATTGGTAGACCACATTTTTGTATGCTCTTCTTCATGAGAGCAGATAAAACAAAAGGTTCAAGCCAAACAGGAAGTGATAGGAAATCCTTGCAAATGAAGGGAATTCCTTGGGGACTCCAAGGTCACCAGAACTAGTGTCCCGATTAGAAGATTTCCCCGCTATTACTTTTCTAGAGACAACCCAAAGTTTGGGATTTTCTTTTACTTTCACTTTCAATTATAATGGTAAACAGGACACATAAAGAGGGTGAATCTCTGACAGGCATTCTAATCCCTCTCCAATCTATCCAAAACAAACCAAAAAAAGTTATGCCTTTAGTTATACTTTAACCAGTTTCTGCCCAATAGAAAAATGATGGCCGAGTGGGACTTTCATTGAATTGGTTTGGCATCATATGAGCCGATGACCGATCTGTGCTCCGTTGCTGGTACCATGCAACTGCTGTGACCAATCACGGCAGGTCACATGACAATTGTAAACAATGGATGGCTTCCTTTCATGCCATCCGTTGTATACAATTGTGTTGTTAGCTGTGAATGGTCACAGTGATCACATGGAACAGACTGGGCCAATCACAGCCCATCTGTGTCATGTGATTAGCTGTAGCCAATCACAGCTGATCACAACAAAAAACACTGAATGAATCGATCTGATTCAGTTAAATGCTTGCCTATAGCAGTGAAATTCACTGCTATAGGAAATCATAATGTGTAAAAAAAAAAATATGATAACTTCCCCAGAGTAGTACAATGTTACTATGGTCACAGTATTTTATAAAAAAAAAATCGTAAACAAAGACAAAAAATGTAATAATAAAAAAAATGTGAAAAAAAATGTTTTTGTTTCCCATACTATTACCAGTCTCCCTGATCACCTCCACACCAGTTATATGATGACGCTGTACTGCACTGCAGACAGTGTGTCAAAAAACCCCCAAAATGGTGAAAATTTCTTTATTTACCAAAAAATTACAAACTTCAAAAACTCGCCAGGCCTCTTACTTAATACCGGAGACTGTCTACTTTTCAAAAAGGGATCATTTGGGGGATATCTATACTGTCCTGACATTTTTGGGCCTCAGGATTGATTGATTTGCAGATATATACCATAGTTTGTGGACTCTATAACTTTCCTACAGACTAAATAATATACACTAATTTGGTCTATTTTCACCAAAGAAATGTAGCAGTATACATTTTGGCCTACATTTATGAAGAACAATTATTTATTTGCAAAATTTCATAGCAGAAACGAAGAAAAACTTATAAAAATTATAAAAATTTAGTTTGGGTACAGTGTTTCATGATCACGCAGTTGTCATTCAAACTGTGAGAGCGCTAAAAGCTGAAAATTGGCCTGGGCAGGACGGGGGTAAAACTGCCCGGTATTGAAGTGGTTAATAGAGTCTTAGTCTTGCATTTAATAGGACCTTAAAAAGAAGTCAGCAACAGTAGTTTGGGAATTTATATTCCCATTGGCCCACTTATATGTGGATACTTGTTTTGTATATGTTTGCAATATGACTAATAATAAAATATGAAGTAAATGTACGTATACTATATTCAGATGAAAAAATAAAAATGCGTGGATAAAAGAATTATGTGCAGTATGTTTTTTTTATCACATGCAGCCTGAAACATGAATAAGTATGAAAATGTGTAAATCCAATGCTGGAAGGCATGTGCAGAATTATTAATACGGCAGATAATTTGTGCGCATACTGCAATATGCTCAGTTCTTGCTTTGTTGCCATCTGCTGGTATTCAAGAAGCATTTATTTACCAATTCCCAATCCTTGAACCTCCACTGATGCCCTGTACCTCTTTAAAAGATACTTGTAGAAGTATGTATATAATGCCACCAAACTGGAGCAGATTATTAAGCCCTCTATTCACTTTAACCAGGTATGCGCACAAGCAGTTGCATATCTTGCCCACAGTACCAGGTTTCATGTGCAGATGGTGCTGCAGGCATAGGATTATACTGCAGTTCTCAATCGTAGCCTGTATGTCAGTGTGCTGCATAGGAAATTCACCCTGCAGATTTACTTTATTTATAGTGTGAATCTTTAGTGAGTGCTGATTCATGGAAATGGGAATTTTAAAGCTTTGTGGGACACTGAATGTGCAGTCAAGGCACAGAGGGTACAGCCTGCCCTCTAGAGAAATGCAATGTCACTGATAAAAAAGAATGCCCATCCCTAATCATCAAAAGTCCAAAACAAATTTGGGGACAGCAGCTTTAAAGTGGCTCTAAAGGATAATTTTTTTTTCTCCTAAAATGAAGAACATGTTATACTTACCTGCTCTGTGCAATAGCATTGCACAGAGCAGCCCATTGCCATTTCTTCATAGGTCTCCTGCTGGCGCTGTCTGCTCCTCCCCTTCTCTTCTCATCAAGCTGTGTGCTGAGAGAGCACTCCTGTGGGCTCATTCTCAAGCTGGGCTGTGTGCATCCATAGAGACACACATTGAGGCTCGACCCCTCCCCTCAATCCATTCTCACAGGATTTGACTGACATGAGCAGGAGCCAATGGCTTCCACTGCTCCCTGTGTCCTGTCAGGAGAGAAACAGAGAGCAGCAGCACTGCAACCACAGACAGGCACGGCACTGGATCGAGACAGGACTCAGGTAAGTATTGGGGGGCAACCACTGGAACATTTTTTCTACTTTAATGCAGGGAATGCATTAAGATAAAGAATGTTTTGACTCTAGAAGCACTTTAACATTCTATTTCCAAGTGAGTTTACCATTTGAGAATTGTTAATCCACAAGTATGGTAAATGGGATTCAATCCTAAAAAGGTGTGCCTTATAACTATGGCAATAGACCCGATGAGCATTTGATGGGCAAGCTGATCATTGGCCAACTTATAATCACATTCCTGTGATGGTATTGACTTTCCAAATGCTCTTTGTCTGCAGTGCAGTCTGTTCATTACACTTGTATCACATCATATTATATAAAAAGCTTTTTTTCAGTTACTGACCCAATTGTTTTCAGAAAGCACGCAAAGCTAGAAGAGGCTTTAAAACTTTAAACACTTTTTAATCTTAAACCCATCTGGACGGTAGACCACTCTGCTGCTGCTACAGTCAAACGTCTTCTCTGGTTTTATGTAACAAAACTGTATGTAATGTAACTATGTAATGGGAATACAACACAGTACAATAAAGCAAGATCATAAATGACAGATTCACTGAAATATGTAAATTACTATTTATAACTATTAAAAAAAATAAATGCAAAACATAATTTGAACTATCCTGTAAAAAATAAAAATTCTGGATTTACCAAAGAAAACCTAGAATAGTTGAAAATATGCATTGCTGTGTACCTACCTTAAATAATTCAAATAGCATGTGGAATAGGTGAGAGGGCACATAGACCACCTGCAGAGGTCTGCCCGGGGCCTTAGCTGTAAAACAAGAACATTTATGTGAAGTTTACTCCAAAGACATGCTGGTAGGTGAATTGGTTCCTGTCCAAATTGGCCCTAGTATGTGAATGTAAGTTAGGGACCTTAGATTATACACCCCTTGAGGGTTAGGGACTGATGTAAATGTACAATATATATGTAAAGCGCTGCATAAATTGATGGCACTATATAAGTACCTGAAATAAATAAATAAAAATGAGCATTCTGATGTTACAAAGGAAAAAACAATGTGTACAGGAATGGTCAATCTGTATATCATTTGGTTTTCTGATCTTCTATATAAACGCACATAGTGTGTGTATATATATATATATATATATATATATATATATATATAAAATACATTTGATTAACTTTGCACAACATCTGTAAACTCAGCTTTGCACTATGAAGATTTAAAATACTTGCATTTTTAAATATATACTGTAGAAGCCATTTAACAGTTTAATCCATATATTTATACATTAAAACTATTTATACAAATGTCTATATTTAGATTTTTAAAAAAAATATATGTACTATTTATAAAAATATTTATACAAACATTTATACATTTAATCCAGATATTTTTACATTACAAATGTATATAAGACTAACTTTGGTACCTAAATTTGTTTTGATATTAGCCTCCTGTAATCCTTTTGCACAGCAGCACACAGACTGGGAGAGGGAGGCTCAATACTGAGCTAAGAAAGCTCTACTGCACAGTGCTGCCAGGGAACATGCCTACAGGAGAGCAGCGCAAAAGGGTGACTTTCTCAGTGTTATATGTCCATGGGCACTTGTGGGTCCTGGACCAGGCTGCAGTTTAGACTCCAGGAAGGTTCAGGACAAAGTACAAGCAAGCAGTAAGATTAATATCACATCAATGATGGTTATGAAAAGCCAAAAGACTTCAAAGCATGAGTTTTTTTCAGTTAAACACTAATTATTTTAGTAGATTTGTCATGCTGTGTTTTTTTACAATTACTGTAATTGTTTCCTCCACTAAAATGAACTGCAGCAGCCCAAATCCTCTTAAAGCTGAAGTCCAGTAAAAAAAATATTTTAAAATATTTGCTTTGTAAAAATAAATCAACCCTTATGACAGGTGTCACACATGTGGGGGATGCTGCTGTGCTATGTATAACTCTTAATTTAACTCATCGTATCACTGGTGAAAGCACCAAATTTCCAGTGCATACAAGTGAAGGATAAGGCTACATTCATATCAGCGATTAAGGCCGGAGCAAATGGTAATGGCAGGAATCTTCTGATTCCTGCTGCGGCAACGAGCGGCTAGGTGCGGTGGCAGCTATTAGCAGTAGTCCGCACAGCCTGCGATTATCTGTAGTGATTGCTGCTGGCCACGCACAAAGTGCGTTAAGCAGCAATCACGGCAGGTAATCGCTGGCTGTGCAGCAAGCTGCGAATTGCTGCCACCATGGGCAACCTGTCATTATAGAGAATGGGGCCAGTGGCTACACTTAGCCACTCAGAGCCGCAGCAAGAATCAGAAGATTTCTGCTGCTACAATTTTCACCGGCTTCAATCACTCATGTAGCCTTACAGTGCAAACACTGAAGGCCAGTAAGTCTTTCCAAAGGACAATATTTTCTGAGATTGGACAACAGAAGACTGTGAAGCTCATATGCCCATCCCCTTCCTTTGTCCAGTCACAGAACACTTTGTATTTTGTGTAAAGAATACGAAATGTTTTGTGAATGGTTGAGGAGGAGTGCAAGCAACCCCCTATCATCACTGTATAAGAGCCAGAATCAGGGGCGGATTGACCATTTTGAAACTCGGGGCACTGCCCGAGGGCCCGGGGTCAGTAGGGGCTCCATTAGATGCCCCTGGTACCTTTTTTATAGGCTTTTTTGAGTTTGGGCAAGGACACAGGGGCCCCATGATCCCCTATTGCCCGGGGGACCCATGAGTTGTCAGTCCGCCCCTGGCCAGAACTGTACGTTTGAGCATTGCATGTAGAAATACAAATCTACATTTTTGGAACGCATTTACAAATACAAATATATATGTTAAAATGACTTTTTTATATGTTAAAAAAAACCTGAAGAATATATGTAAAAAAATATATATTTTTTAAATATATTCTTCAGATTTTTTTTAACATATAAAAAAGTCATTTTAACGTATATTTTTACATATACTTCTAAATGCATTAAAAAAATGTAGATTTGCATTTTTAAAGACATGCAGTATATTTAACATGTATTTTTAAAAATATTTTTCATATATTTTGTAATAAAAATGCATTTCAACATGCAGTGTGTGTATATGTATATGTGTGTGTATATATATATATATATATATATATATATATGTGTGTATATATATATATATATATATATATATATATATATATATATATTGAAATATATTGAATATGGCCAAAATTGTAGTATTTCAAATATATGGCAATATATTTGGGAGGAATATTTTAAAAATATATTTCAAATAAATTTTTCTTCCATATGGGAAGGTTGGCATTTGCACTAGTGACAGGATGAATGTGGGTGTTTATGCAAGTACTGTTGTATACCTGCGTACTGCCATTTGCGGTTATTTACTAAAACAGCAAAATCTGGTACAATTCAATACATAGAAACCAATCAGTTTCCAGGTTTTATTGCCAAAGCCTGACCCCCGGTTCAGATCTATACGGGTGGTGCCGCTGCAGATCCGCACGAAAATCCATGCAGCCGCACCACCCGCACAGAGAATTGCAGACCCGTGGGCGGGTGCCATTAGTTCTAATGGCACGCCGCCCGCACTGGGAAACACAACTGTACTGGGAACCGAGGTTCCCGTGCGGGCTGCGTTTTCCAAAGTAGTGCAGGGACTTCTTTCCCTGCGTGTCACGGGCACGGGAGTCCATTCAAATGAATGGGCTTTCGTGCCCATGCAAAACGCAGCCTGCACAGCCACATAGGTGTGAACCAGGGGTAAATGAACAAGCTGAAGTGAGAAGCTAATTGGTTTCTACATCTCCCCCGTTGATTTCTATACTACACACACCTGTAGTTCCCGGGTAGGGAAACAAGCCCTGAATATACATTATACAGCCCCGGGAGTCCACATGCATGGTCAGGGGCAGGTTGCATTCTGTCGCAGTGCTAACTTAGAGTAGCTGAGACAAAAATGTATGAATCAAGTTGCAATATTAAAATAATCTGGTTCATAATTTGTGTCAATTCTTCTTTAGAACTGCCTTGTTCTGTGACAGCATGAAGAAAGGCCAGCTCTCCATATAAAATAGAGCGTTTTTTTCTACAACAGCAGCTACCATGATTCAAACACATATACAATAAGGAGCTGCATGCCCTCTAAATGTGTGTTAGTAACTGTTGTTTTTGCAGTAACAGAGCTATATTTTACATGGAATGCTGACCTTTCTTCTTGCTGAATACTTAGCGCTGCCATCCTGACTGTGCACCCCAGATACCATAAGGCCAGAGGTTTGTGTGTGGGAAGGACACATCATTTGTTTATACTTGATACCATGTTCCCAAATGTCATAATTCTGGGAAATGTATTACATGAGCAACCAGCAGAAAGTGAATATGCCTTCCACTGTATTTTAACAGCAAAATATATTCTTTGCTGAGCCAGTAAACCATTCACGTAAACTCTTATATTAAAGAAACCGCAATCAAAACTATTTAACTTATATATTATACATTTTTACATTTATTGAGTTAAATATGGCGTGGAAATGACATATCACTCTTGTGTCCTACTGCCTTGGTCTGTCTCTTGAAAGATCATATACCAGCCTTCGTGATCTGGCCACTCTGTGTATACAGCAGTAATCTAGGGCAGTGGTGTCCAAACTGAGGCCTGCGGGCCAGATGCAGCCCTTTGCTTGCATATATCCAGCCCTTGGGGCATTATTACTTCCACTGATACCAATGATGAGGCACCCATCCTTCCACTGACACCAACCATGGGGCATAATTCCTTCCACTTGTTCAGGACCTGGATCACTTGCTGGTGGCACTGTGATTCCCTGGGCGAAAGGTTGTAGTTCCAGTGTCCTCCAGCAGATGTCTCCCAGCAGCAAGCATATTCCAGTAATCAGCCTCCACCTGATGCTGGCTGCTGGGAGGGTGTTTAGTTCCTTTTCTACTAATGCCCCTAGCTTCAGTGTTTTGCCTACTTCTGCTCTGTACTTGTATCTAGTGCTGCCTGCCAGCCAGATTCATGCTTGCACCTGTGGGGCAAAAAAGTATTTAGTCAGCCACCAATTGCGCAAGTTCTCCCACTTAAAAAGATGAGAGAGGCCTGTAATTGACATCATAGGTAGACCTAAACTATGAGAGACAAAATGAGAAAAAAAATCCAGACAATCGCATTGGCTGATTTGGAAAGAATTTATTTGCAAATTATGGTGGAAAATAAGTATTTGGTCACCTACATACAAGCAAGATTTCTGGCTCTCACAGACCTGTACCTTCTTCTTTAAGAGGCTCCTCTGTCCTGCACTCATTACCTGTATCAATGGCACCTGTTTGAACTTGTTATCAGTATAAAAGACACCTGTCCACAACCTCAAACAGTCACACTCCAAACTCCACTATGGTGAAGACCAAAGAGCTGTCGAAGGACAGCAGAAACAAAATTGTAAAGCTGCACCAGGCTGGGAAGACTGAATCTATCTGGGGCTCCACGCAAGATCTCACCCCGTGGGGTCAAAATGATCACAAGAACGGTGAGCAGAAATCCCAGGACCACACGGGGGGACCTAGTGAATGACCTGCAGAGAGCTGGGACCAATGTAACAAAGGCTACCATCATTAACACACTACGCCGCCAGGGACTCAGATCCCGCAGTGCCAGATGTGTCCCCCTGCTTAAGCCAATACATGTCCGGGCCCATCTGAAGTTTGCTAGAGAGCATTTGGATGATCCAGAAGAGGATTGGGAGAATGTCATATGGTCAGATGAAACCAAAATAGAACTGTTTGGTAGAAACACAACTCGTCGTGTTTGGAGGAAAGAATGCTGAGTTGCATCCAAAGAACACCATATCTACTGTGAAGCATTGGGGTGGCAACATCATGCTTTGGGGCTGTATCTCCGAATTATTGGGGCCATGTATCGTGAGATTTTGAGTGCAAACCTCCTTCCATCAGCAAGAGCATTGAAGATGAAACGTGGCTGGGTCTTCCAACATGACAATGATCCCAAACATACCGCCCGGGCAACGAAGGAGTGGCTTCGTAAGAAGCATTTCAAGGTCCTGGAGTGGCCTAGCCAGTCTCCAGATCTCAACCCCATAGAAAACCTTTGGAGGGAGTTGAAAGTCCGTGTTGCCCAGCGACAGCCCCAAAACATCACTGCTCTAGAGGAGATTTGCATGGAGGAATGGGCCAACATACCAGCAACAGTGTGTGCCAACCTTGTGAAGACTTACAGGAAACGTTTGACCTCTGTCATTGCCAACAAAGGATATATAACAAAGTATTGAGATGAACTTTTGATATTGACCAAATACTTATTTTCCACCATAATTTGCAAATTAATTCTTTCCAAATCAGCCAATGTGATTGTCTGGATTTTTCTTCTCATTTTGTCTCTCATAGTTGAGGTCTACCTATGATGCCAATTACAGGCCTCTCTTGCTCCCCTTGTTCCTGATTCCAGTTTTGGTTACCCCCTTCCTTGCATCTCTGGTATTGCCTGTTATCTGTGTTCCACATTTTGTATATATTGTATTATAAATGGGATGTAAGGTATTTCATCACTTGGTTTATTGTTCACTTGTATCTTCATGTTTGCTGTGCATCACATTTGCTGGTGTTTGGATGGATTTTGGTTTCACTGTACATAAATTTACTTTACTATACATAGTTTGGTCTCAGTTTCCTAGTGTAGCTAAGCAGATCTGACCATCCCTACTGCTGATTCCTAACACACTGATATAAAAAATGGAACACTATTAGCCCCACTGATGGCAATAATGGGGCACTATGCCTTCCACTGACACCAACAATGGGGCATTATTCCTCTCATTGATACCAATGACGGGGTGCTATCCCTTACATTGACACCAATGAAGGGGCACTATTCCTCTCACTAACACCAATGACGAGGCACTATTTCTCCCATTGACATCAATGATCCCTTCCACTGATAGCAATGATGGGTCTCTATTCCTCCTTCTGGCACCAGTAATGGGGCACTATTCCTACTTCTGCTAACCAATTATTTTACACCCACTGACTACAAAGCCTGAGCCACTGTTTTACTCCTACTGGCACTGGGGCATTTTCTACTCCCCACTGGCTACAGTCAGACCGCCTAGATTCTTACAGTAAACTAGCCATGTGTTTAGAAATTTTGGGGACCCCCTGGTCAAGGTTATTTACTAGCAGAGTCACTAAGATATCTCCCTGACAACCACTAAAATTGGGCAAAGCAAGGAGACCTCATGAAAGACTTGGTGAACTTGAACATATAATACTATTTTAATAAGAGTCTGATATTGCCGTTGCTATTTACACCTATTGTTTGGATCTTAGAACACAGAAAAAAAAGCAATTTACCATTGAATTCTTCAATTTTCAGCTCAGGTGCAGACAAGTAGTATTGCTCACACAGCATCTTTGCTGTTTCATAGGCATCTGTTGAAAGAAAAATTTGCATATATTACGATAGCAAAAGTGCAGCATAACAAAGTAAAGCTTCAATGGACAGCATAATGGCTAGATGGTTACCACACTTACATCTAACTAAAACTGAAAGAAACATTTTTGGTTGACTGCTTGTTTATTACCAAAAAGGGACAAGGTCAAATAATGCAGAATGTCACCCTCTAAGTCTGCCAGAAAATTATTTTACTGAAGTCATATGGATCAAGATCACCTAGAAAATAATAATGATCAGACTGAACATATTGTGAAATTTAATGGGCATTTTTAGAAAAAAAATACTTTTTTGGGGGGGGGGGGGGGGGGGGGGGGGGGGGGGGGGGGGGGGGGGGACAGAAATCTGCTACTTAACCACTTGAAGTTCAGGCATTTTTTTTTTTTAAATGTCATATACATGTTAACATCTGCTTTTTTGCTAGAAAATTACTCAAAACCACCAAGCAATTGATTTTTTTCTGAAAGCAGAGACTCTGTAGAATAAAGGTGGCAGTTGAAATTTTTTGCGCAGCAGTTTGTCAAAATAAATTTTAGTGCATACAAAAACAATATAATACCCAATTTTTGGTAAAAAAAATAAAAGATGGGGTTATGTTGAGTAAATAGATTTCAAACATGTCAAGTTTTAAAATTGCATGCACTTGTGAACTGGTGAAAACATAATGTACCCAAAATTATCCATAGGCAAAGCTTTAAAGGGTAACTCAACTTTTGTGGGGAAAAATAGCAAATAAAAAAAATAAAATAATATAGCGTATACAAGTCATATTGTAATTGAATGTTATTAAAAATTACCTTTCCTTTTCAATGAGCAGTGTTGTGATTTTCTGTAAAATGCAATGCAATTTGGCTACCTGGAGGCAATCAGTACACAGATGTACAGAATGCCCCCAAGAAATGTCATTTCCTGCTTGTGTGATTGGCTTACTGACTTTCCCAGAAATATGAACTAAGATACAGGTCAGATTTTGGGCATCCCCTGCAAGAAAAAAATGCCATTTTTGGTGAGACACTCCCAAAGAGAAATCATGTCTAAAGGGATGCAAACCCTGCAATTTTCCTCATTAGAGCCCTGCAGATGCAGCAGCCTGATTGATAATTATAAAACCACTCCCATTCACTTTGCACATCGACAGAGACAAACAGCTATTTCTTCATAATAATAGAATCTGCAACGTTTGTTAAAATCCCTGCAATGTACATAGGTCACCCGGAAGGGAATGTTCTATTCTCAACAAAAGTGGAGTTACACTTTAAAAGCCTTTATGGGTCATCATTTTAGAGTTAACAGTGAATGATGGATCAATTGCCCCATGTTTGGGTCAATTGCCCCACTCATGCATGTATTTGCGTACACAGTGCAATGAGGTTGCTTTTTATTATTTTTATTTTATTATAATTAAATTTTTTAATGCTTTTTTTTTTTCATTTAACATAATTTTTTTTCACAAAGTGGCTAAAAAACTCCTTACAGCAAGTGGTAGCTGCTCTTTATTGAGACATTGGGGGTCTATTAAACCCCTGATGTCTCCCATGCCCTTCACTGCAGCTAATCAAGCGGAGCAGAAGGAGGGGTATGTACCGTGAAAATGATCAGGTATCTCTACAGCCATCTGGATCACTTTCAAGCCTGTCACTAGCTGAAAAAAACGGCACCAAGCTGCCAAGCCTTGAGCTTGTTTTAACCACCTGAAGTCCAAGCTGTTTATATACAACCTATGGAAGTCAAGTGGTTCAATTTGCTACTAAGAAGATAACTAAACCCAATAACAAAAATTGTAATATTACTAGTCCTTAGATGTGGTGGCTGAAAAAGTTAAATTTTTCCGGCTAAGAACATTTTCAACATTTTCATGCAAAGAATATACCTGTGGATCTTACCAGATTTGCCACTTCCTGTGAGCTGGACTAAAAACAAAATAATCTTATCTTTGTTCTGTAAACTGCTAATCTTCCTGCTTCTCGTGTAATATAAGATGAACAAAGCCAGACATTTTTAAAGCTAAGCCAGGAGGGCAAGCATTAGTCTTTCAATATATACACTGGAGGAGTGAGCAGTAAATGTGGTGTTTGCAAGATCACCAGGTGAAAATAAAGAGAAAATGCCCCCCCCCCCCCCAAAAAAAAAGAAATGAATGCAGCCACTACATCTAAGGACTGGTAAATTGCAATATTCACTGCTCAAAAAAATTAAAGGAACACTATGAAAACACATCAGATTTCAATGCAGAAAAATATCATGCTGGATATCTATACTGATATGGACAGGGTAGTGTGTTAGGAACGTAAGGATGCCCCATCATTTGATGGAAATTAAAATTATCACCCTACAGAGGACTGAATTCAAAGACACCCCGAAAATCAAAGTGAAAAAATTATGCAGCAGGCTAGTCCATTTTGCTGAAATTTCATTGCAGCAACTCAAAATGGTACTGAGTAGTTTGTATGGCCCCCACGTGCTTGTATGTATGCCTGACAACATCAGGGCATGCTCCTAATGAGACGACGGATGGTGTCCTGGGGTATTTCCTCTCAGATCGGGACCAGGGCATCACTGAACTCCTGGACAGAAGTGCAACCTGGTGACGTCAGATGGACTGAAACATGATATTCCACCGGTGTTCTATTGGATTTAGGTCAGATGAGCGTGGGGGCCATTCAATGGTACCAATTCCTTTTTCCTCCAGGAACTGCTTGTATACTCTCACCACATGAGGCTCGGCATTGTCATGCACCAGGAGGAACCCAGGACCCACTGCACCAGCGTAGGGTCTGACAATGGGTCCAAGGATTTCATCACGATACCTAATGGCAGTCAGGGTGTCCTTGTCTAGCCTGTAGAGGTCTATGTGTCCCTCTATGGATATGCCTCCCCAGACTATCACTGACCCACCACCAAAACGGTGATGCTGAATGATGTTACAGGCAGCACAATGTTCTCCACAGCTTCTCCAGACCCTTTCACGTCTGTCACATGTGCTGTGGGTGAACCTGCTCTCATCTATAAAAAGCACAGGGCGCTAGTGGTGGACCTGCCAATTCTGGTGTTCAATGGCAAATGACAATTGAGCTCTATGGTGCCGGGCAGTGCGCACAGGGCACGCTAGAGGACGTCGGACCCTCAGGCCACCCCCATGAAGTCTGTTTCTGATTGTTTGGTCAGAGACATTTACACCAGTGGCCTGCTGGAGGTAATTTTGTAGGGCTCTGGCAGTGCTCATCCTGTTCCTCCTTGTACAAAGGAGCAGATTCCAGTCCTGCTGATGGGTTAAGAAACTTCTACAGCCCTGTTCAGCTCTCCTAGAGTAACTGCCTGTCTCCTGGAATCTCCTCCATGCTCTTTAGACTGTGCTGGGAGACACAGCAAACCTTCTGGCAATGGCACGTATTGATGTGCCATCCTGGAGGAGTTGGACTGCCTGTGCAACCTCTGTAAGGTCCAGGTATCGCCTCATGCTACCAGTAGTGACACTGACCCTAGCCAAATGCAAAACTAGTGAAAAACAGTCAGAAAAGCTGAGTAGGGAAAAAAATGTCAGTGACCTTCAACTGCAAAACCATTTCTGTTTTGGGAGTCATCTCATTGTTGACCATCTAGTGCACCTGTTGTTAATTTAACACCAAAGCAGCTGAAACTGATTAACAACCCCCTCTGCTACTTAACTGACCAGATCAATATCCCAGGAATTTAATTGACTTGATACTATACTCTGATTAAAATGTGTTCCTTTCATTTTTTTGAGCAGTGTATTACATTTTTGTTTTTGGTATTATATACTCTTGTAATAATTCCATTTTACTGCACCTGTCCTGGACTAAAATGAGTGACCTTGTGGTGCATCAAGTACTTGCAGCAAGTGGTAGAGGCTCTGGCATATGAGAGCGGAATAAAGGGTGATGCTTAGCTCTGGGACAACACAAGGCTTAATCTCAACTTGAGCAAATGTTAATGCCCCATATAGAATACACCCATGACATAGATTCCAATGACTCCACATAAACACAGGGATCTAATGGAACAATAACACATTTACTTTCAGGTACCATAAGGTACCTGCAATTTACTGTGCAGTGCTGTTTTAAGCCAGATGGGTCACCAGTGTAGGAGGTTTTCACATTCTCCACATTATCCCATAGCAAATTTCCATTTCTTCTACCATCTGTCCACAACAAATGAAAGGTAATGATCCAGCCAATTCAGTGGTCAGACATGACAATGATCATAGGACCAAAGGATGGGCTTGTGCATGGCTGGAAAAAATTGAAAGGAAAAAGAAATTGAAAGGAAATCTTTGATGGAAATAATTACACGGGATACCACTGCTCACATGTTGCTAAAAATGTTTATCATCTGAGCCAGGTCCAGCAAAGCAGAAGAGGCACAAGGCTGCTCATTTTATTTCAGTCTGTGACTCAGTAGCTAAACACAGAGAACTATTATTTTCATAAGAAGCTCATCGGAGGCAGTGTTCATAAGTCAGCAAAAGTTTCCTTTAATATATCATGATATGCCAACCACAAATAACTAAGGGAGCAGTCTTATTTGTCTTACTCTGTTACAGACAGAACAATTCTCAGTTGATCCAACAAAGATCATCTTTTGCCCTCTTTTCTCCTGAGATTGTGCGCAATCCTCTTCTCTAATCATGATAGTCTATCTGGCATAAAAATCACGAAGTCACTCCTCTCTATTTTACCCTTTCCTGACAGAGTATTTCAGGATTGGTCCTCCCAACAGCTTTCTACAGTGCAAACCCTTATGAACTCCTCCACTCACAAATCACATTTGTAGCAGTGACAAGGGTTTACTATTTCTACAGCCCAAACCTTTCTTTTCCCTACAAAGTATGTATGTGTCTCTTTAATCAACTGCTGGGGAAAACCTAACCCTCTCAAACATGCCATTTGCTTTAGATCAAATATTGACTATGCTCAATGGGTCTTTTGGAATGGACTAAACATTTCCCAACAATATTTACTACTAACTACCTCAATTCCTTTAATAGAGCTTGGAACAAGATCTCCGCCCCTACTTACAGAGAAATGATGCTTTGAATTTATCATGGTGCCTATATCCATCCAACCAGACCTTATGGGTTTTAGCCAATCTATATAACACATTCTGGTTTTGCCCTAGCAAGTGAACTATCTTCCCCTCACCCCACTGTGGGTGTTATTTTGCATTGAAAGAGAAAGGGAAAGAGAAATCTCAAAGGGAGTCAGACAACACAATAAAAACTGACAGATGTTCTAAACCTCTCTTTTCAAACTCAACACAAAACAAAGCTTCAGTTAGACATACACTTTAAACCCCAACACCTACTGTCAACTGTAGTGTGGCCAGTGCAGACTGCTCACCCCACTATCACATACATGTGGAGAAAGTGTTTAAGTGTTTAAGTGGAGCTACTACTCATGCACATACTGGACTGTGTTTTTGTATATTAGATATTATTCCGTCACAAGATATCCTATCACCATAACCCTTAACCATTGATGTCCATTTTTTAAAGAACATGTCGCAATCACTAGCCTCTGACAAAATATTTTATGGCCACATTTAAAAATAGGTCAGGTCATTTATAAGGAGTTGTCTGCTTCTCACCCCTCTTTGTGGTAACAGAGCAGATCCCTTCCTGTACTGATTCCCTGATCCTGCCAATCCAATCTAGTGGTCAGACAAGACCACTGCATAAGCTGGATCAGTGGATCAGTACAGCAGATACAGAGAATGTTAAACAGTGAGGCTTAAACAACAATTCCAGATATTGTCCTACTATTTCTGAATTTCTAGTTCAACAGCCTGACTAAATGGATGTCATGGGTGAAAATGGGCATCTACTCATAGCAAGACAGGGCCAGTCCTGGAAATAGAAGTGAAGAAGAGATGTCTCTGTTTTAAAGTGCAAGGCTGCAACTTTTATCTCTACTGAATAGCCATTTAAAATTCCGTCCTCACAATATACTATCACAGTAACTAGACTTTTGCAAAAAATAGGCATAACATTGGTCATGCGCAACGCATTTCCCATGTAAATTTTACATGAATGTCAACGGGGAAACCCCACTGCATGGTCACATCAAAATTGCAGCAGACAACCATAGTACCATAGCAGAAACAGTTATCTTTCCAAAAGCCAAGTTGTGTGATAGTCTACAGAAAATAGCTTCATGAGTACTTGGGAACCTCTAATGCAAAACACTCTGCCAAGCTAATATGAAGACAGTTATCTCTTTCACTGTGCTTGAAGTACAGCCAAGTTCAAAACTGGTATAATCAGTCACGTAGTGCAAGGTGCAAAGCTGAAGTGCAAACTGCATTAACAACCAATTGCTTTTACTTTTCGTTTGTGAATAAGGCCCCTTCATACTTATCAGTTTTTGATGTGCTTTTGGTGTTTAAAAAGCGGGCCAAAAATGCATGAAAAATGTATACCTTTAAATCCTATGAAAGGGCTCATGTACACTGCAGCTGATAAACTCACGTTTAGGAGCTGTTCAGCGTATTTTTCTCAGCAGGCCCTGAACTCTCCCTAATGTTTTCCTATGTGTCCATGTACACATCTTCGTTTACAGTGATTTACAGGCATTTGAGTTTACAGTCATTTTTTTTGAATGCAGAAAACTTGCGTTCAGCAGTCGATTTTATCAGCGTTTCAAACGAAAAACACTTGTAAAAGCAGCAAATCGCGCTTATAAGCGTTTGCATCTGAATTTTTTTTTTAACTCTTCCAGCTCCAATGCTGTCCAGAGCCTTTTTTTATCATGAAAAATGAATGCAAAGCGTTTTCAAGGTACTCAGATGGACAAAACACTTAACACAGGATGTTTCCAGCAAGCTTGTCACACATTGTAATGACCAATTCACACCTCAGACCTCTCCCGCCCTTGGAAACAAAAGATATGTTAATGACCATTTACACCTCAAATTCCTCATGAAGACCCCCTGCCAGGTGGCCTTAATGACTCCCTCCACCAGGCACCTTCCCACCCTTGGAAACAAAAGAAATGTTAATCAGCAACTCACACCTAATTATCTCAACACATACTGCTGTCTCTGCTTCTACTCTGTGTATTTCTCTGAAACAGTCTGAGCATTCTGGGCATTTGGGAGTGCTTATTCTCCTGTACTTATCTTTAAAAAATGCTTCTAAACACAAACGCACATAAACGCGTTATGCAAATGCAGCTGAACAGATGTTTTTTAACCTACATTTTCCAGCAGTCAGTTTCTATTGTTCAGAAGTGTCCCATGTACATGGGGCCTAACTCTTCACACCAATGTGCTGCAGGTGTGGTGTGTTTTTAAAAGTTCTGCATGCTTCATTTTTGATACATGTTTAAAAAGCGCACCAAAAATGCACCTTCGCATTGAAATTAATGGTTGGTGCATTTTTTGAGTCACATGTCCAAGTTTCAAAGTTGCATGCTGAAATCAGGAATCCTGAAAATGCAATAGAAAAGCGCATATGTGTTTTAACCACGGTTGTTTCAGCAGAGCAGTGTGAAAGGACCCCAAGGCTGACAGATGAATAATTTTCTTCAGTATTTATAAATCCCCCCAAGACATTTGTGGACATCATACCTTTGACTACTTCTGGTACATTGCAGGACGGATCAATGCTGCCTATATGCTTGGGATGGGCAGGATTAATGTCCCCTCCAAACAGAAGAGCTGTAATATGAATGGATACCATTATACATCAATCAGACATTGCAGTAAGTAAAATGATCTATGTTGAGAAGTCTTCTTTGCTAATCAAAATGCCTAATTGCTATGTGTCTATGTTATATTGTGCAGTGAAGGGTCTGTCCCCCAAAACTGCAACTCACAATGACTATCAAGACAGCCCTGCTTATGCAACGTCTGAGGAATTTTCTAGTTCCCTTGCCAAGCTGCAGCAAATGTCTGTGAGTGTTCAAGTAATGAAAAGATCAAGTGGGCTTTGTCAATGAAGACTGAGGACCCATCAGCTCCACAATACAATCTACAAAGGAAATTAAAATGGTGTGTGTACCAAACACTAGCAACAGTAACTAGGTGGAAATTGGATATTAATTACATATAGTGGTTTCGATGTTAAGATATACAAACTAATCTTTAACCATATAAAATATACTAACCTCACATAGCATAAAACTTTAATTTGACCATTAGAAATTATTCTTAAAGGAAGTATCAGAGTGAACCATGCTACCTTCAAACAACACCATCACGGGTAAAATACAACTTTGTAATAAACACACTGTTAATCTGCATGGAAATTTGAGATTCATTTCCCATGTGTACTGTTATCAGAAGTCCTAAGATCAGCTTTCGCAACCATTTTTTTACAACACAGAGGAACCCCTGAAATAACTTTCCGGTCTCAGGGAACGCCTGCTGAAAATTACTATAGTTACAGCTCACAGTTAATTAGTGTAATGGATCGTGGGAAGAATACTCATTACACTTATGGTCATTAGGAAGAATGACCCCCTTACAGATAGCTAAAAGGATTAATGGTGTCAGTGGAAACTTATCTGGGAAGCAGAAATTGCTCATTATTCAAGGAACCCCTAGCAACCTCTGAAGGAGCCCTGAGGTTCCATGAAACTCTGGTTGGGAGATCCTGCCTTACATTTTCTAGTTCAGCACCTGACTAGATGGACATCATGGGTGAGAATGGGCATCTAATTTAGCCTCTCAAGCAAATATAGTCATTAGTAAGACAGGGTCAGTCCTGGCAATAAGAGGAGTGAAGTAGAGATGTCTCTGGTTTACAATGCAAGGCTGCAACTTTTATCTATGCTGAATAGCCATGCAAAATGTTGTCCACACAATATACTATCACAGTAACTAGATTTTTGCATAAGAAATTGGCATAACATTGGTCATGTGCAACACATTTCCCATGTACATTTTACATGAATGTCAATGGGGAAATGTTTTTAATTCCCATGTGTACTGTTATCAGAAGTCCTTAGATCATCCTTTCTCAGCCTTTTCAAAACAGAGTAACCCATGAAATAACTTTTCGGTCTCAGGGAACCCCTGCCAAAAATGACTATAGTTACAGCTCATGGTTCATTAGTGTAATGGATTGTGAGAAGAATACTCATTACACTTATGGTCATTGGGAAGAACGGCCCCCTTACAGATAGCTACAAAGATTAATGGTGTCAGTGGAAACTTATCTGGGAGGCAGAAAGTGCTCATTATTCAAAGGAACCCCGAGCAACTTCTGGAGGAGCCCTAGGGTTCCATGAAACCCTGGTTGAGAGACCCTGCCTTACATTGTCCTTTGCAATCCAGCACCATAGGTCAATCACTCATTGTAATAAGAGATCTTCCAAAGAATCAAACTGTACATGTGGGGTTTGCTGTTTTCCAGCAAATTGATTCCAAGTAGGCAGGACAAAGGAAAATGGTGCTAAACAGGTATTAGGAATGTGTGCACTACATTGCTGCAATGTGCTGAAGAGCATTCTTGCAGGATTTCGAAAGTCCAGCTTTACAGGAGGCAGCTGTGGGTACGGTAACTTCACTGATGCTTCCAGGAAGTGTATGGAAGCTGGGGCCGAGCTAATTGTTCTTTTTTTTTTTTTTTTATTAAAATTTTCCAATCTTTTTATTAGTTTTTGTACTTGGGGAATGGGGGCGGGGGAAAGCTGTCAGTAACACAGACCTTTGTCATGCAAATCCATGCATCGTTTTAGATTAGAGTTATCCTTATTCTTCATTAAATTATTAAAGGGGTTCATTTTTGTAAGATTTTTTTTTTTACGAGTTTAATCTGCTTATCGTCATGCCAGAATTGTGTCATGCTAAAAGGAGGTTAAGTGGACTCCTTACCTGTTCAGCTGCGCACAGAGCCACCTTTAGTGACAATCTGCAAGATTATCTAACAGATTATCCTGCAGATCAGCAATTTATTTATAAAATTCAACTGATTGCTATCATGCAGATCCGAAACATGCCCTAAATTCAGCAAATTCAATTTTTACACTTTACCACTAAAGAGCTTATTTCCCTTGGTCATATAGTTATAAGAACCTTCGCGTGTGGTATTCATACCCCCAGGCGCAATGTTAAAGGTTTGGTGAAATTCTGCTGCTTATGTTAAATTCATAACAAATCCAGAGTTTTAGGATATATTTTATTAAAAAGGTATTGGGACTTAGTTGTTTATTTAAAAGCAATTTATATTTTTGGAAAACATCTACACACAGTTGAGTGGGAACTGAATATAAATATACCCATCAAGAAGTATTTTGGATTAGGTGACCATTAGCTTTTATAATGTCAAACTAATAAATTGTGAAACACTTCCTAAATGGGGTTACATTACGGGTTCTTCATTCTGTTCACTATTAAACCCCCCACCAAGTGCAGAGCTAAAATAGTTACCTTCCTCCCCATTCCAGTAATCTCTACTGTGTGGCCCTGCCCAGCACCTTATTGCCCTTCTCCCGAAAATGTCCCCACCAGTTGGGGAGAGCCTTATTCCAGACATCCTGTGGCTTTGCAGTACCGGGCAGGAAAAGGGAGGAAAGTGAGTATTTAACACAGGTGTGGGTGAACTTTCTTTTAAAAAGCTAGTGCTATGTTTTTCAAAATAAAAAACAAGTAGTTTGCAGTTATTATTGAAAAAAACGTAGAATGCAGCACTATGCAATAGGACGAAACCAAGGTGCTAATGCATAAATAAATAAATAAATAAAGTGACAATGGTGGCTGATTCAAAGTGAAGCATTCAAAATTAGCACTAAAGTGAATAATGTTGCACAAGTGTCCCGCAGAATAACAGCTAGTAAGTGATATTTTGCAAATAGATATAAAGTGACAATAGTGAGCAGTTCATTATAAGATATGATAATTCGGATAAGTAGCAAAAAGGCGTCCAAGAAACCTCAGTGATGAATAGGTGAAAGTGACGCCTTGCTAGGTAATTCTGTTTGAATGCACTCACCAGAAGCACATATTAAATGTGCACAGTAATATATCCAGCTCTTCCACAGGTAGGGAAAACTTCCATCACAAAGATCATGGTATAGAGACAGGAAAAACACCACCAACTTCTCACAGCATTACAGAGATGACTCCGACACCACCACTGGCCTCTCACTGCATTATAGGGATGACTCCAACACCACCACTGGCCTCTCACTGCATTACAGGGATGACTCAGGAAACCTTTCCACCATGGACAAAGCCAGCAGGAATAACATAATCCACCTTAAGGAAAACAGCTCGCAAAAAACGAGCCACGACAGGAGCGCTTATAGTGTACTAATTATTTATTGCATATAGTAAAAGACATCCACGTGGGTAACAAAGAAAAAGCTGGTAGCAGCACTCACAGTGCATTCATACAGCATTACCTAGCACGGAGTCACTTTCACCTATTCATCACAGAGATTTCTTGGACGCCTTTTTGCTACTTATCCGAATGATCATATCTTATACTGGACTGTTCACTATTGTCACTTTATATCTATTTGCAAATATCACTTACTCGCTGTTATTCTGCGGGACACTTATGCAATATTATTCACTTTAGCTCTAATTTTGAGTGCCTCACTTTGAATCTGCCACCATTGTCACTTTAATTATTTACTTATGCATTAGTTCCTTGGTTTCGCCATATTGTATAGCGCTGCATTTTACATTTTTTTTTTCATGTTTTTGAGGATATAGGGGTTCATTCTTTTATGCCAGCTGCTTTATGTGAGTCTGTGCGTTCGCTTGTTTTGCTTTTACCATAATTAGTTATTATTGACATTTACAATCTGGGGAATATCATATCGTTAAGGGTGGTTAATAGGTACATTCAAAGGGTTAAAGTGTTTTCCCTTTATTGTTACCAGGGAACAAGTCAAACATCACGTCTGTTCAAAATGTACTGTACATGAAAAATAGCTGACACAAATGGACGACGTTTATCAGTAACAGCTGGAGCGCGGTGAGGTGAACCTAATATGTTGTGTTGTTAAGCACAAACAAGCTACTTACTGTGCTGATTAATGAGCATACGGAAAGAAATTCTGCTTGTGTAGAATCTATCCAGGAAATACTGGATATTGCTACTGACAAATGGATCAAAGCCGTACTTCTCTTTGTATTCAATCACACCTTGGGCCATGGTGGGGACCACATCATTGTGTCGGTTCCTCACTTGGATGAGGACATTTAAAAAGCTAAAAAAATGAAGGAAGAGTAAGCTTAAAAATATAAAAAAAAATATAAAAGCATAACTTTAACATTACATTTCACAATTCTACAATCCCTAATGATGTTACTAATATTTAATTTTTCTGCAGGCTACTGATATAGAAGTTAAAATATTGTATTTAATTTATCCTATAATTTTCTACACAATAAAATTATTTTACATGTTATTTGTATACTTATACAATTATTTTTAAGCCTATTTATAAGTTCCTAAAAGTCAAATGTGTAAATTATTGCAGGAATCCAGTTTTGACAGTAACACTTATCCTAAACAAGCTATGTAATGCCAATATCCCAATGCCAGGAAATATTCCTTCACAAATTCTGGGAGTTCCATACTGAAGATGCCAGTTTTTCTGATACAGGGAACCTGTCTTTGCAGGAAAACCTCTCTGAGAATTTTTAGCTCTGTGAGCTTGTTTTGGTGTTTTTTATTCTTGTTTTTTATTCTGTTTATTACAGCATTGTCAGGAATACAGAGTCTGCCAAGTTATGTCGTACAAAGTTTACACATGTGATAGATCTACATAAACAAAGGTTGGCCAAGGGTGGCTTCCACACATGAATATAAGTGTGTCAGAGTTCAACGATCAAGGCAAGCTGGTAGGAAATATCAGACCTATGGCTTCCGGACCTTAGAGAACTTAGACATAGTGTCCTGTAGTTTTTCCCTTAACTTCTGTTGAAGCAACGTCCAATTCAACTTTGATTTGATCTCATATACATACAGTGTGCTGGAAATCCATACTTCAGATATTGTCTGTTATGTGGCAGTCAGAACAAGGGTCAAGAGCACAAATTGATACTTGGAAATAACAGTAGGCTTCAGATTAACAGGGGTGTGGAAATTATTTAAAAATCTACTTGTCCAAGGGACTAAATCGGGGGGCCCAATCCACTTGTCTCTCATGACAATCTATTTGTCCTGAACCAAAACCGTATTTAAATAAGGTTTTTATTGTTATACTTTTACTGGATGAGACAGTTTTATCACTAAGGATTTTCAATGGATGCATGTCCCTTTAAAGTATGAAATGGTTTTGCCAGGATGGAAAATATGAGGGGTTGATGTGTTTTATTAGGCGGTGATATGGGGAGGTGATATTAGGAATGTTTGGGGCTTTTAAGAACAGAAGGGGTTTATGGTGACCTAAACTTTTTAATATGTTTAACATTGCGCTGTTTATTTCTACTCACCTCCCTGCCTGTCTCCAGCACCACACCCAGGGACTAGCAGGGAGGGAAGAGACCTTGCAGTGTAATGAGAACCGATTGGAAGCTCGTCAGGAAAGGGGAGTGTCAGTTTCTCTTAATGCTCAGCAGAAGCGCATGTGCTGAGAAAGTAAATGAGGCACCAGACCCAATGAGAAAGAAAAAAAAACTTTATTCCTCCAGGTTACCCTTGCACGTGGAAGCACTTGGGTGCTCAGTACAAGTGTATGCTGAGCAGCCAAATCAAGCACCGGTGTCTGGCAGGCTTGGATCATTTTTTTTCGTCTCAAATGTGTGAACAGGGGAAGTGATTCAGCCACTGGCTGAATGAAAAAAAATGAACCATGTATGGCCAGCTTAAAATTCGGTATTTCCACATCTGAGAGCATATCTGCCCACCCTGGCTTTTCTATCAAGATAAATAGCACAATTACCAGTTCCTCCCCTAATGCCAGGGTGCTAGGTGTAATCTAGACCTTTCCTTTACCTCTCACATCAAATCATCATCCAAACCTTGCCATCTTCACCTCTGTAACATTTTCAAAATATGCCCCTTCTTAACCAATGATACTAGAAACTACTAATTTACCTCCTTGTTATTTCTCACTTTTTCTATTTCGTCTGCTTGACCTTGTCTACATAGGCCATCTCCTCTTCAATCTATCATGAAAGCTGCTTTCAGACTTATCCACCTTACCAAATGCTTTGTGTCCACAATCCTCTCTGACAATTATGCCACTAGTTTCTGCTTGTCCAACGAATAAAATTCAAAATAATATCAATATCATACAAAGCTATCCACAATTCTTTCCCTAGCTATATCGCCAGCTAATCTCAAGACCTTCTGTTCTTTTCCTCCTTCTTTGACTCCTCCTGCGCTCATCTACAGGACTTCTTCAGAGTCTCTCCCCATATCCCTTACTCTGTCTCCTTTTGAGTGATCCCTGAAAACTCATCTCTTTAGGGAAGCTGATCTCATTTCTACATAACAATTAAACTAATCCCCAGTTATTACCTTTTGTACCACTTGCCCCCCATTTTATATTGTAAGCTTTCATGAGCAGAACTATCCTAACCCTCTTGTCCTGGATTACTGTATATTGTATGTGTACTGTCTTCATTCTTATTGTAAAGTGTTGTGCAAACTGTTATTGCTATATAAATTCTGTATAATAGTGATAATAAACAGGCCCTACATAGGTTCCCGGTGTGTAATACTTTTCCCTGTAGCTATATTGATATTAAACACAAACTACAATACAGTTGTTCTGACAGTTTGTACTGCTTGAAAACAAAAAAGGAATAAGCACAGTGGCTAAGTGGGCAGCACTAAGGTCGTTCGTTTGAATCCCAACCACGGTACTACCTGCATGTTTTCCCTGCGTGGGCTTTCTCCAGGTACTCCGGTTTCCTCCCAAACTTCAAAGACATGCTGGTAGGTTAATTGGTTCATGTCTGAATTGGCCCTAGTATGTGTTTGTATGAATGTAAATTAGGGACCTTAGATTGTACACCCCTTGAGGGTTAGGGACTGATGTGAATGTACAATATATGTAAAGTGCTGCGTAAATTTGTGCTGCTATATAAGTACCTGTAATAAAATAAATGAGCTGAAAATCTACATTTTCTGTACTATATACTGCAGATAGAAAAAATAGTCTTCTGTGGATCATGCAATAGTTATTTACAAGCAGGCACAACTGCTATTTTTAGATCTAAATGCTATTAGACGTAATAAGCAAAAGAGAACCAATACAGGCTTGTTCTGATCCTGTGAAGCTTCAAGCTTCAATTCTTCACCCTGGTGATTAGAAAAGTGTTCTTGACTTTGACCCCAGTACATGGGCTTCCACTGATGCTCTTGCCCCCATATTATAGGGAGACATGCTCTTGTAATAAGTAGCAGCAAAACACTAAATGCAAAGCACAAGACTACAAATTGTCCTGTAGTCAGAATAGAATGCAGTCAAGTACTGATTACTAGAAAGTGCAGTTACTTACTCATAAAGTACATCAGGATCGTCTGGGCTCTTATTCTCATATTCTAAAAGTTCAAGAAAACTTTGCATGTACCTAGAGGTGATAAAAGTAAATAATTCAGTACAATTTTTAACTAAGGTACCCACAACAAAATTTAGCTCTTTATTTCAACATCATGAGACAAGCAACTTTAAAAACGTCATAATCCCATAGATAACAGCGATGTTTCAAACGTTAGACAGCTCTTTTTTCAAGCGCATAGTATATTATTCTGTGCTTGAAAAAAAAAGCATATAAAGGTTGAAATTTTGCTGTTATCTATGTGATAATTAATTTTTTAAGCAGTTTGCCTCACAATGTGCAAATAAAAGAGCATTTTGTTTTGTACAATGTTCTTGGTGCAAGTTGACCTTTTTCTGAGTTTTGGACCTTAATGCAGTTCATGAAAAGGACTAGTGACCGTTGCACATACATAGTATATTTCTTAAATTGATACTAAATACTAGACCCTGCATTCACGCTATCTGGTCTCCCATAATTCACACTACATGGAAATGCAATTATTTTAGTAAATATAAACTGATAAATACCTTTTTTCATCAACAGTTAAAGCAGTCTTGTGACTTATATCAGTGTTCAGCAGAGCACTGGTTAAAGCTTGTAAGAGGAGTTTTCTTTCTGCTCTAGGAGAATGCAGAACCCCTGACCGGACAGTGCTGGTTGGCCCTGTGATGATCATATTCACTCTCCCAAGAAAAAAAAACGAAACCTCTAGCAATACACACCAAGCGGAGTATGTGCAGAGTACCTCCACACGAAATGTCTTATCAGGAGATAAGAAGGGGGCACTGGAAGAAGGGGAGAATCAGAGAAGATGGGATCAAACAGCATTTGTACACAATGAAGATGATTAACCCTTAGGTTCCACTGTGAGTATATCAAGCATGCTTTATTGCATATACATACTGATTTTACTATTGTGGGTGTAGTAACACTTTAAGTTACCAACACATGAGGCCTGATTGATTATTCTTAAGATACAAGGAATCGCATAATACTGCTCCAACCCTGTGAACTGTCTGAACCTAAATTAGGACCCATTCAAACTGGAACACACTGTGCAACAATGCACATGTTTTCAATCACGGAGGTGTGTTGTGTAAGCCAGCCCCCAAATACAAATATGGGGGGAATTTTAATTTATTTTGTTTATTTGTTTCATGAAGCATAGTTTTTTTAACCTTTTTTTAAACTTAACTTGCTATTAAAATGAAACTGACACTGCAATAGCAGAGTGCAGGTGACAGGCTTTCTTTAAAGACACATCAGGGGTCTATTCAGTGGCGTCCTGAGGCAGGTGAGGGGGGTGCGGTCCGCACCGGGTGACACCAACCGCACGGGCTGACACCGGACCCGCTCCACAAAAAGGTAAGTTGTAAAGCAAGCCAACGATCCCTGCAGGATGGATCCGATCCATCCTGCCGTGATTGTTGCCTTTTTTTTTACAACTTACCTTATCTTGGAGCGGGTCCGGTGTCACCCTGTATAGGTTGCATGCCGATGATCCATTATGCTCAATCCGCAGATCCAAACCATTCTGCGGGGATCGTCGGATGGGGTGTCACCAAGTGTTACCGCACCGGGTGACACCTACCCTAGGGACGCCTCTGGGTCTATTAGACCCCTAGTGTAACCTTTACTTATTTCCTTTTCCTGACCAGAGCAGCAAGAATTTGAAAGCCCTGAACCCGGAAAAGCTTACAGCTGAGAGCTTTCAGGTTCATACTAGTCTGCTACAGCTGCCGAGAGTTAGTTTATATGCCAGTGCTATTGCTGCTACAAACGGCATCAGCAGTAACAGGATTAAAGCCCAATTTCGCTATCGGGTACCATCTTCAGCCTCTCATCTACCTAAGAGAAACCTCCGCACCCTTTCCAAAAATAAAATCTAAATACAGATCTTTTGTCCAGTTGTCTCTGGTTCAGTGAAGCCCACAAGCTCTTTTAACCTTCACTTCCTTCAAACGGTGGGTGGACTTTATATGCTCTGCAGCATTCTCCTGTCTGTGAACCCAAGGCAGATCCTTGATGTTCTGAACTGTAAGGATGTGGGCTGAATAGAGCTAGATGTTATTCAATCCAATCCACCTCTTTGCTGAATTGGTGAGTCTTCTGGGGACTGCACCAGAAAGGAGGTGAATATAGCAGCCAGAGCTTTTTTTTTTTATTTTAGGAAGCTGTGGGGGATCACTTACCAGGATCGTACTAGCTTGACTGATGGCCTTTGGAGTAAACTTTCAGGCAGCAGGTTGACCTCTTTCAGTGTATTGGCAAGTCGTACTGGTAGTTCCTTCCGCAAGAAAAGGTATGAGGTTTTTTCACAAGCATTATTGCGTCCTGAAGGAAAAGAGGGAGGTATTTAGTGGAAATGTAAATTTATAACAACGCTGTATTACAAATATTTTCATTTTAAGCAAGTCTCAGTTGACTCTGGTAAATCTACATACATCAGCTTATAAATGAATTAAACTCTGGATACTGTACCCAAAAAGCAATAGGAAGAGGGTCATTACTGACTTAATTTTTCATGTTCTGTGTGGAAGCGGCCATCGTAGTAGAGACAGGATTTTGCTATCTTATGTCAGAGATTTCAGCAAGAACAGTGAGAAGAATAGTAATGACATTACCGAATCTCACTCCACACCTCCCGAGACCAGCAGTCAGGGGCAGCAGTGCCTGAGATCTCATACTGTAAATATTAATCTATGAAGCTGTAGGCATAGGAGTACATAGGTACACTCACATACAAGGAATTGCACTGCTATTTTTTAGGAAGAAATCCAGACAAAAGGCACATTTTCAAGGTACTGGTAAGGTACAATTACAATTTCTTAAAGCCTACATAACAACAGGAAATCACTTTATATTCAGGATCAGAGCAAAAGATGGAAGAACTTTGCAAGATAAAAATAGGGGGATATTTACTAAAACTGGTGCACCCAGAATCTGGTTCAGCTGTGCATAGTAGCCAATCAGCTTCTAACTTGTTCAATTGAGTTTTGACAATAAGTCCCTGGTCACACTGGATGCAAATTTTGCATGCCATGCGACTTGCAAACCGCATGCCAAGTCGCACCCTACTGTCCGCAATTAGATTGGTCATATTCATCTGGTTCCGTCGGAGCCGCACTGTTTTCTAAAGTAGTGCATGTACTACTTTTGGTGCGATTTTCATAGACATCTGTGTCAGATGTCTTGCAAATCACACCTGAAATCGGCATGTCAACCGACTTTGAAATCGTGCAACTTCATTGTAGGTCACATAATTTCAAAGTCGGGTTTGATGTGACTGGGGGGTAACACCTGGAAGCTGATTGTTTTCTATGAAGAGCTGCACCAGATTTTGCACACTCCAGTTTTAGTAAGTCTCCCCAATGACTCAAAATTGTTACAATATCCACCTGAACTAGATACATTTGTCTTGAAGCCCTTAGGCTGTGAGTGAGCAGCACTGTCTATTATACAGGGAAAACTATCCAAAGAATACATGTGGCATTGATCAGTTAATACAATATTAGCAATTGTAACCTAGACTCATTAATAGTAAAGAAAAAAAAGCTTCAGAACAAATCATAAATTGCTAATCTGAATGTCAGGACTGTTTTTATCCATCCACTTTGAAAGGCAAAATGGGGTTCAAGTGGGGAATATATAATTTACTGTGCATTATTGCTCAACAGACCACACAGCTATTTATGAAAATGCAAATACAAAGCAGGAAATGCAATAAAAATACACTTCCCATTACTATACAAAATAACCGTAATTTACTTTACATATATAAGTGGGCTTACACAATAAGTCCTCTTTTAATAGCCGCCTTGACCACAGTATAAACACTCACCCTAACCTGCACTGCACTTACACCATTAAATACCCATTGCTTCTAACATTAAATCAATTACCTTGACATTATAGCAGCCCTTGGAATAAAAAACTTTTTAAACACAGTTTAAGTATTTACTAAACAAGTCTAATTCTGGCTGGATTTCCACTACTTTGGCAAAATCCACCACTTTTCTTTGGCTAATCATGGGTTTCTTTTCACTGAAATCACATTAGAGCTTTTCAATGTTTCCTGCTAAGACCTACTTTTATTAGCTCACATTTTTATGAAGAGGAATGTGTAATCCTAGCTGCTTCCAGGGCAAACCCTTCACACTATAAAGGTGGTCATATGCAGTTAATAACCTCATGTGATGCAGCGGTGCTGAGAATTGGTTGCAGTGGTCAAGATGTGTAGAGCTTTTTAACAGAACAAAATCATTTTGAAGATGAATTTTTCATTGCAACAAATGGGGATTTTTGGACATGCCTTGGAAGCCTCTGGACAGCCTTTCTATACAATAAACAAAATGTTCTCTTATTAAGCATTATGCAACTCCCTCCTCACTGGTCTACCTTTACACAGGCTATCGCCCCTTCAGTCTATTATGAATGCTGCAGCTAGACTCATACACCTCTCCAACCGATCAGAGACTGCTGCCCCTCTCTGCCAATCCCTTCACTGGCTTCCACTAACCCAACGTATAAAATTCAAAATACTAACCACAGCTTACAAAGCCATCCACAACACTGCCCCTAGCTACATCGCCAACCTCAACCACAAATACCACCCAAATCGCCCACTCCGCTCCTCCCATGATATCCTCCTCTCTAGCTCCCTCATCACCTCCTCCCACGCTCGCCTCCAGGAATTCTCCAGAGCCTCTGCCATCCTCTGGAACTCCCTACCACAGCATGTCCGGTCAGCCCCCACCCTGTCTGCCTTTAGGCAATCTTTGAAAACTCACTTCTTCAGGGAAGCCTACCCCACCTCCACCTAAGAACTGTACTTGAATCACCTCCACCAGATCATCCCCCGCAGCTATCACCTTTTGTATCACCTCCCCCTTCCTTTAGATTGTAAGCTCCACAAGCTGGGCTCTCACATTCCTTCTTTACTGAAATGTATTGTAATTGTACTGTCTCCCTTATATTGTAAAGCGCTGCGCAAACTGTTGGCGCTATATAAATCCTGTATAATAACTCACAGGTATCCTAGTAGTATGAGCTTGCAGATCTGCCTGCATATGGCCTGCCAAACATGCCCATACAAGACCTAGTTCAGATCAGCTTGTTTCAGTTCTAAGATAATGAAACTCAAGCTGTGCATGAGCAGCTGGTGAACCCGACAGATATCTACTTTACCTGAGGGGATGGTCAACTTATTCGTTCTTTGATCACATTTGTGCAGGTACTGTATATGGTTATTGTACCAGATATTTGGCTGCGTCGTGAATGTCTAAAGATCTGTCTGCATCTTTATGTGACTAAATTTGTTAACGTTTAGGTTACCTATGCCTGAGTCAGAGTTAGGTTCAATGGCCCAGGGTCCAACTGTTAGAGTGGCCTTAGAGGAGAAGGTATTTTCCTAAAAACAACAGATAAGATATTAGCCTGCTCTTGTTTAGCAATTAAGTGGCCTGATACTTGCCCAATGATGACAGCAGCATATCTGCTAATATTGATCCCTAAAAGAGAAGTAATTTCCCCCAATTATACTTACCTAGGTGGATGCAGCATTGGTCTGATGTCCCCCTCTGGCTCTAAGGTGTCCCTTTTATCATGCAGCGGTAAATGACAGTTCTCCTCTGAATGCCTGTTCATGAAGCGGTGTTGATCGCTTCTCCTAATGAGGAGAGAAGCTATCTACAAACACTTTGAACTCTAGAAAATGGCTCCTGTTACTGTAATCTCGTGAGATTACAGTAAAATCAGTCAAACACACAGTTTACTAAGAAGAGGTAATTTACCGCTGCTTCTTTGGCAGTTCTCTCCAAGGAGACCACTCAGTACCTCACTACACTGCATACAGACACACACACACATTGTGTTTCTATCTTGCTCTACCCCATCGGGGGTTGTGAAATGCAGGGGGGCTTTTCCACTGTCTTGGGGGCTCTGATTGAGGAAGAAGGTCAATAATCTTCCTCCTTCCTCCTCAGTTCTCCTGGGATTCACTCTTCTCTCCCTGATTCTCCACCTCAGGGCTGGAGAATTTTCACACAGATCGCCAAGGGTGAAGGGTTGACATTGCTCCTTCATAAACTGGCCATTTCTGTCAGTGACAGATTCTCTGTGTGCTGAGATGATCAGCAGAGAACATGTTCTCCACTGATCATCTCTGTTTCATAAACCACTAATTTGTTTATTTTATTTTTTACATTTATTTCAGGTACTTATATAGTGCTGTCAATTTCCACAGCGCTTTACATATATATTGTACATTCATCAGTTAATAACCATCAAGAGGAGTACAATCTAAGACCCCTAACTCACATTCATACATACACATACTAGGGCCAATTTAGACAGGAGCCAATTAACCTACCAGCATGTCTTTGAAATGTGGGAGGAAACTGGAGTACCCGGAGGAAACCCACACAGGCAGAACATGCAAACTCCAGGCAGGTGGTGCAGTGGTTCGGATTTGAACCAACAGCCCTAGTGCTGCCAGGCGGAAGTGCAAACCATTTAGCCACTGTGCTGCCCCAATGATCTGAGATCAGCAATGATCCTCAGGATCGCCACTGATCTCAGTTTCATAAACGGACACATTTGTGTGAGAACTCAGCAATCACATGGCCGCTGATCAGTGGGTTCTCACAGCCACTCTGAGCAGTGAGCGGTGACTGTCAGTCACCACTGTCTGCTCTACTCACTGGAGCGCTGGGCTGTGGAGCAGGAAGGAGCGGCTGACTCAAACTCTCAGCGGATCACTGAGAGGCTACGCCAGGTGCTGCTTCAGTCTCTGGGGTGGATCCCGACTTTAACCACTTGCTGACCAAGCCAATTCAGACACTTTTCTCATACATGTAAAAATCTACATTTTGTTTGCTAGAAAATTACTTGGATCCCCAAACATTTGATATATGTATTTTTTAGCAGGGGCCCTATAGAATTAAATGTAAAAATGTAAAATGTTTTGCAATCTTTTATATCACAGTGGTTTTCAAACGCAATTAAAAAAAAAACCCTTTAATGAATTTTATTGCACACAAAAACAATATAATACCCAATTGGTAAAATGTAAAAGATGATGTTATGCAGAGTAAATAGATACCAAACATTACACATGTTCAGCCACTCAAATCACTTCTGCAGAAAAAAAAATCACCAGCTGAAACTTTTAATACCGGGATGATGCCTGTACCTGCAGGCATCATCCCAGTATAACCACTACAATCGAGGATGTCATATGACAAGCCTACAGTCAGCAAGTGGTTAAAGGCGGGATCTTTCCCCAGCCTGGACCGGCTGAGTGACATCAACCGACAGTGGGCTTCGGCATGCTGTCAG